ACAGTGGAAATAGTGCGATGCATGTCGTAGAAATCACCTGAGGAAAGTATTTCACAAAGAAAAGTCATTTTGAGTTTTGGCGTGAAATAAAAAAGTCATGCTATAGGGCTGCTGCTATAGCTCACCACCTGGTTGAGCTGGTGGTGAGCTATAGCAGCAGCTGCATTCAGGGGTTTTGAGGGTTTGATCAACTATTTGTAGTTCAGTGAACATACAATGAAAACTGTTTCTCTAGCGAGTCCTCAAACTTTAAGAAAAGGCAAAAAATCTCATCCAATACATTCAACAGACACATGTTAGAAAATTGCAGCTAGAAAATGAGAAGAAACGACGTCAAGCCATTTGCATTTATGTATTCATGTTTAGACTTTTAATGAGTGAAACACAACAGAAAGCAAGTGGAACGCTAAAACAAGAAGGAGTGCGACTGTGGGATTACTGCAAAATGAATACTAAGAAAATGCTCTATACATTATATTCAAGGCACTGTCAGTCTCCGTCTAAAAGAACCCTGTACTCACACATTCTGGTCCGTCTGGGTTAGTACCTTCCTCCTCCAGCTCGTGGTCCGTTTGCAGACTAAAAACAGCAGCTGTCTGTTGTATCAAACAAACACATCGCTATCTCTCTGATAAAATATTGATATGATGTGTTAAAAGTGTAAAAATTGAGAACATCTCAGTGGCATAGAAAATTACTTGTCACGCACCAAATGATGCAAAGATCCGATCTATTTTCTTTTGCTACCATTTGGTCCAAAAACACGTTAAAACAGCATTTACTCGATATCCTGCAATCTGTAAACAAGTATTGGTGCAATTAATAGAAATACATAAATCAGATAAACTTATTTCCTTTTCCCTGGAAATTACATTTAAATACGTCTTTCCTGCTTTTATTTTGATGGTCCATCCAAAAACCCAACCACAGGTCATAAGAAATCAAAGGCTTTATGAGTTTGGATTTTGAGATGAGCCGTAGTAACTATCTTAGAAATTCTGTCTCACAGTTCAGGTTTAGTTTTCTCTTTTTAAAAAAATGGACACATTCCTCATAGAAATTGCACTGTACAGTCTAAAAGGGTGTTTTCTTAAGTCCCAACATGATCCCAATAAATCCAGCATCACTTAGTGTCTCTTGTTCGCCCAGTGTTTACGACGTCTATTAGAGTCCCTGTGCAGCTTTTGTCACAGTCGTCCGGCTGCACTTTCAGTTCACTTTAGGGTAGATCTTTTCATAGAAGAAGCTCTGGGCCAGGACATAAAGTTCTCCGTCCTTTTCTCTGACGGCGTGGGCACGGACAAACTGAAACTGTTCGAGGGCAAACTCGTAAAACTCATTTTCGATTTTCCAGATGTTGGACTGCTGCAGCTTGGTGATGGTCTCTTTGGTGGGGGTCTTCTTCTCCGTGGTCTTTCGCAGGTGGGACTTCTTTCCTGGACGAAAACAAAAAGGTTTAATGAGTCAGTCAGTGTGATAAACACAAAGTTAATACTCTGCTGAACTGGTTTCTGATCACTGCAGTGTAAATGAGATGCTAACCGCAGTACAAAGACGGGATATTGGACCATATTCACAGTGAACAATGAACTGAATGGTTAAAATGAATGAAACACTTTGGACATTTTACTTTTGCTGCTGAAATTCTTGACCACTGACATTTGGAATTTGAAGAACAGATACAGTAAACACCAGGTTCTTGAATTGTTAATTACATAGAAAAAAAATAATCTATTTAAATTGCGCCTCAACAGTTGCTCCAACAAAATCCCAAGTATTAAACGCAGCAAACGAGCTGCAATCTTCCAGTTTTTTACGTGATGATGCAGAGTTCATTAACATTACAGTCAACAGTTAGACAGCAAGGAGGTGCACTTGTCTTTTCAATCCTTATGGGCGGTCTGCAAACACACCTGTAACTTCATTTCATTACACAGGAAGAGACTCCGCCTAGTGGTACAACCAGGTACTACAGCTAATCTACAATACATTTTCTGACATGCATGTCCTCTGGCTTATTGGTTCATAACTTTGATCGATTAAACAATTAACCATAAATAATCCATTTACAAACGATCATTAATGCTCCAACAGCTCTTCACTTAAACACTTTGGAGAAGCAGAATGAATGCTGTGAAATGACGCGTGTTGTGTCGCTACTGTAATGGAAAAATATTGCATCTGCATGAAGAATGTCAAAGCAAGTTTCACTAAGTTTCATTAAAGCTGAGTGGAAAGGTTACAGGCCCAATGAGAGAGAATGTGTTCTCATAACATCTAGGTAAAAGATTAGTGACCGTACAGAAGGAAGAAGAAGTTGTGCATGGGAAGAAGATTATAGGAAACACAGCCTTGTTGCATCCCACTTTTTGATGTCTGATCCAATGTGTTTAGTCTTCTCATGTCTGTGGATGAGTACACCCTGTACCCCCAGCTGTTGTTTTTGAGCATGGGATTGTTATACTACCATTGGAGTAAAGACCACGCCTGCACATGTATAAGAATACTACGCTGCCTGCACTCATGTGTACTCTCCTGCAGACTGCTTGCATTCTGTATGACCTGTACCTTCAAAGGTTTGAATAAAACAAGACAAAGACAACTCGGACTACTGGACTATCATAGAAAATCTCCACAACACTACCTGTTCTGTAGAGGTCCGTGGCTCCCTTGAAGAAGCGTGGGAGTGCCGCCTCCAGGATCATGATGAAGTCCTCCAGCTCCTCAGTTACACCGACTAACAGGTACTCATTCACCAGGTTGTATTTAGCCTGTTCCAGGGCCCATCTACTGCCTGCGTTCCTGCACAAAACAACACACATCTGAGATCAGACGAGTGACTACTGACCAGAGGGGCTTGTGCTGTTGCCGGGATGAAGGAAGGTCGACTTTCGAATAATTAACTCCAACAAAAAAGAAAACATATTTGTACTAGAGAGGAAAACAAACAGTCAAAAACGTGTGATACCTGAGTCAGTATCAACACATTAGCATCATGTTTTAGGGGGGGGTGTAAAATCCATTTCTTATACTTAATAACTTAGAAACATGTGAAATATAACATAGCAATGACTAAATGGTTGAAATAGTTAGCTAAAGGCAACAAAGAAACTATTAAAACAGCTCAACTAGTTTCCTAAAAGATGACTAGTTGAAATAAAGTTAGCTAAAAGTAACTGACAAACACGGTGAAGAAATGAAAGTACAGGACTTTATTCTCTGTATAAACAGCTGTTTGCAATCCTTATTCCCTTTTGTCTCCTGCTAGTTTGTGGCTCCAGTTAGAACCTTAAATCCATAACACCGGCATGACAGGTAGTTTTTTGTAGAGAAAATCTTGTGATTCTGCAGAGTTTAACTCTAAAATCTGCAAAAACTGTCTTACCTCAGACAAAGCCTCCAGCAGTACAGACTGTATGAATGACTGAGAGCAGCAATGCCAGAAATTCTACCTTGTAGCTGGAAATTTACTGCATCAAATTTACACCATATCAGCAAATATTCAGGTTCCCTGTTCTGTCACTAACCTGTAAACTCCTGTAATGTGAGCCTGGTCTAAGCTAGCAGCTTAAAATGAGAGTTTGGTTCAAACAGGGTGGACGGAGGAAGCCTGGCACAACTACGTGACAGAGCTGAGAGTCGGTGAGATGTGGGTGAGATGTGGGTGAGACGTGGGTGAGACGTGGGTGAGACGTGGGTGAGACGTGGGTGAGACATGGGTGAGACATGGGTGAGACGTGGGTGAGAGGCGGAGTCCACTCACCAGCACTCTGAATGGTGGCCGCAGAAGAAGGGGATCTGCAGCCAGAGCTTCTCCGGAGCACAGTCAGACCCTCCCGATGACACACACTCATCAAAGGTCTGAAACACAACACAAGTATCTGTGATCCCTCCGTCCACACAAACAAAACTGAAGTTTTACCGAAATAAAACCAATGAGCTGCAAATACGGACCTTCTTGTCCCCTTGTTTCCTTCGTCGAAGTCCTGGTCTGTAGTCGTCTCCGAACCGGAGGAAGTAGTAGTAGGACACGAGGCGCTCGATGGGATCCCGCACCACGTTGATGTACATCGGCTTTCCTCTCACACTGTATCTGAACACAAAAAGAGATATTCTTTAAAGCAACGCCCTACATACAGCTGCCTCCTATAAAGAGCGATTCACAACGTTCACTGCAGCTTTTCCATCAGCGGAACGGTGGCAGCATCAGGGACAAGCGAGAGTGAAAGTTAACAGGATCTCTCTCACTGAGAAACACTTAGAGCATTAGGATAATTACCTGTGATCACCGAGATGATAGTGTCAGGGGAGATAAGGACAACAATGCCATTAATCAACACTAAAGCACATGTTAGCAATCAATACATGACCTCCCTTTATCTGCTCTGCTGTTTGTAACTAATCTGGATATTAATGGTATTACAGGAAATGAAGGGGCCTTACTTAGAGAAGTCCAGATAAGCTACGTGGCCGTGGTAGAAGCCGGGCTTCATCTCTCTCCACGAGGTGACGTTCCTGACAAAGCGCACCTGGAGACAAAGATAATGGAAACTAATTATGGAGCTGCAGGGAAAGAGCAACAACAAAATGTGTACGCTGTGTTGTGCTTTATTTAGGAGCAAACTTTACTTCGTTTCTGTGTAGACTAAAGATATAAGAGAAAAGAAATCACCAGAATGACACCATTTATCAGAGTCAGAACTTGTAAAAACGGAAAGAATCGTCATATTTTCATCTTTCTGAGCGTCTCTGAAGTACTCATCTGGGACATAAAGGTTCACCAGAAATCGTGATATTTCATCAAAATCTAATTATTTCCCTTGTCTCATTTGGGAAAAATAAGAAAAAACAAACAAAACAATACAGTTTGCTCTGAACACATCCTGTAAAGAACAAAAAATTCAGAGCTTGAGTTGAGCTGGTTGTCACACAAACATTTTCACATTCATGCAAGAGATTTATTTACAATCAAATCTCAGGATGACAGTTGATTACTTGGTGTCAAAAACTGAATTCTCTCCCGACACATTTTCACTCACTGTGGCCTCATTTTCACTGCAGGATAAAGTCCTGCATATCACACAAATCTGGTGACTTTTCGACTGTGTTCCCTCTAGGGATGGTAATGAGTAATCACTAATCGATTACTGCTGTTAATGATTTAACTGATTATATTAACTGAGAAGAAAACGAAGGAGGGCTACAGCCTGGAAAAAAAGTCAGGATTTAAAAACAAACAGTCCTGTCCATCAAAGCCCACCAGACAATCACACACTTCACAAGACAATAAAGCCAAAAGTCTAGCCCACTGCTGCACCAAATCCTGCCCTCATTGTGGACTTTGTTGGGTATTTAAGCTATCTTACTTAAAAGTGAAAGCACCCTATTGTCTCCAGTCACAGTCTGCACTTCTACATCCTGAAAACAGAGCCAAGAGGAGGTGCATAAGTCTAGTTTCCTCTCAGACCACTTGAGTTAGAAAATGTTCCAAAAGAATACTACCTACCCCAACTTTAACGTCCACCACAAAAGCTAAAGCAGAATGAAATCAACAAAACCTGAAAGTCAACTCTGGATAGTTGGACTGAACCAATGCAGAAGTTTGCGTCATTATCGTCTAGTCCTTCCCTGCTCCGTCGTATAAAACCTAAATCACCGTAATTTACAATCCGCTTTGTTGTTTTTTTGCTGGATCAGAATAAAGATCAGCATCACTTGTTAGCTTTGACACAAACACACTGTAGTCTGAGTCAAAACATCACAAGTCAAACATTTTCTCCTGCTTGTAGTTTGTCTGGATGGATGAAAAAGTGAATGTTTCTGTAGTAAAATGAGCTGTGGGCTGTGATGTGACTGCAGACTGAATCTTCTCCTCTCATCTCTGTTTGATGGTGTTCAGAGGAGGCACAGTGTGTGAGGCGCTGCTGCTGCTGCTGCTGCTGCTGTGAGATGGCAGACAGGATATTATTACCTTTAGCACGAGCAGCCAGAAATAATACTGCAGCTTTGGGGCGTTTACACGATGTGACCCGGTGCTGCAGCGACAGCAACAGGAATGTGTTCGGTTTTACAAGTGTGGAGACACTAAGTAGAGAACGACACGAAACATCAACAGGTTTCATCGTGTTACAGGTGGAGACAAACACACTGTAGACATGGAAGTTATTTAAACTTTCATCTCTACAGTCATTCATCAGCTTTTTTCTTTGTAGTACGTGATGGTAAACACATGTCACCTCTTACCAAAACTGCTCATCAAGGCGGTACTATAACGGTACTCCTATTAGGTCTTCAACCAGTGGTTCTCAAACTGGGGGTCGGGACCCCAAGATCATTTCAGGGGGTCCCAAAATCATTGTAAAAAGAATTGTATATATTCAAATAAGTGTGTCTTAGGGCTGTCAAAATTAAAGTGTATACTTCTTCCCACTCCTTTTTTGAACTTGTTAACATTATGATTTGATGATGCGGTATTATTATTTTTTGCTCTTTTTTAAAATAATTTTCTTTTGTTTTTATATATTTTTTTCCCTTTCATTTGTTTGAAATAAATTCAATTCATTCATTCATTCAAAAGAAAATGAATGTGTTACTGTAAAGACATTAATCTGTGGAATTAACACATTAATTTGTGACCAACACAGTTATTACTCATGAGATATTAAAAATTCAAACTGGGGGGGTCACAAACACAAACCTGTTATCTTGGGGGAATTCAATCTTTAAAAAATCCCCAAAATGAAACCATTTATCTGAATCACAAACTATGAAACTGGAAACAATTGTTCGATCTTAAACCTTCAAACAGACCTTGAGCTGTTCATCTATGACGTGCTGCTCCATCAGAGAGTTTAACTAAACTTACAATGTGATATTTCAACTAAATTACTTAACATCACAGCTCATTAAAAAATAAAATAAAAATAATTTTTTATTTTTTTTACCAAATCTGGTGCAAACATTTTATTTTTTGGCAAACTTTTGAACGCGACGTAGAATAAACGGATTCTGATGAAATCCCAACTTTAAACTCAGATTTGGTTCATTTTCTGACAGAACCAAAAGCAACACAAGATTAGTTCAAGGACTGTAGGAAAGTTGATGATTCTTTCTGTTTTAACAGTTTGATGATAGGTGACCTTTCAAACCAGCCAGTGGGTTTTGGGTTACTCAGAAATGTACCAGATTTCTCTTTGAAGTCACTCAAACGCTGCATACTGTGGACAAGAAACGACTCCGAGTTGATTACTTTAATACAAATCAGATTTTTTAAATTAGCATGTTTATAATGAACTTAGATGAACCATCAAAGCCAGCAGAGAAGTTTTAGCTTCACACTTGTACAAAGTGATGCTACATTATTTTTTTTTTACGCCCATCTTGTTTAGAAAAACATTATTGGATTTGTCAGTAGACAAAAGTGCCTCTCCTCCGTGTTACACTGACTTTATGACTGCAGTTTATCTTCCCTTCCATCTATTGTACCTGTAATCTTACTACCCTTCAATAAATAACAACCTCCTTCCTGGTAAAGTGGGGCATCCTGGCAGTTATGACATCTTAATGAGTTTGACTGCGGAAACTGTAGCCTTAAAAAATGCAGTATCCAACAGCAACCAGACTGGCTCATGTCTTTATAACAGCTCTGCTTGTGGTTTTCAGTGTGACGCCTCGATCAGTGAGGATTAGAAAGAGAAAAGTGATGCAGCAAAAGCAGAATGAAGATCAATGAGCTAATCAGACGAGTCAGTTGTTGTTATAAAGTACATGACCTTGAACTTACCAAGCATACATCACCTCTCTCTGTTGCTGTATCACATTTGATCTTAATTCCAAATACACTCTCAAGTGAGGACTGTAATAACTCTGAACCCCCAAAAACCCACCAGTGGCTTTGAAAGCTCAAGAAATCTGCACTCGTCTCCTCTTTTCGGCTTTTTTGAACTTTTCGGCTGAACTGCAGGTTGTGTTTACACAGAGCAGAGAGGAGACAAATACGGAAACAAATAAAAATGTAAGTTATAAAATATGTACGAGGTGTGTCAGAAAAGTTCCAGGACTGGTGTCATGAAAGATATACTTCCAACCCAAACTACTAACGAGGAGTTTTCCCCTACAGACGATCAACCAGCACGTCTACAAAGAGATCCTGCTTCGTTCAAGAAGAGGTGAGAGGACAAGTGGCAGGACAAGTGGTGGCTGCTTCACCATGACAACGTTCCTGCTCATAACGCCCTGAGCATCCCACAGTTCCTGGCTGAGAAGAACATCTCCGTGCTGGAGCAACCTCCCTACTCACCCCACCTGGCTCTGTGGGATTGTTTCCTCTTCCCCAAGCTCAAGGGGGTCATCAAGGGGACATGTTTAGAAGACGTGGACGACATCAAGATGGCTGTGACGACGGAGCTGCAGAGGATCCAGAAGAATCCTTCCAGGAGTGCATGGCGGCGTGAAGAGAAGGCTGGGGAAGTGTGTTAGACTCCAGGGGGATTACTTGGAAGGGGAAAACTTGTAGTTTGGATTTGAAATATATCTTTTGTGACACCAGTCCTGGAAGTTTTCCGACACATCTCATGTACAGTATGACATGAAAATATGTATAATATGTAGAGCCACTGTTGTTCTAAAGTTTGTAACACATTTGTTCCTTAAAAAAATGTACATGTTGATTTGGTCATTTGGGTTTTTTTGTGGAAAATAAATAATTTTTTTAAAATGTACCTTTCGTTTTTTTCTTATTTTTTTGATTTATGGCATTATAACTGTGTCAAACTGCACAAAAGACATTTTTGAGTTCATCCTTCAAGCCATGGTCTTTCTGTGTCCACAGTGAAAATGAGCCCACAGTGAGTAAAGATGTGTCAGGAGCAGAAAACACAAAGAAACTGTTTTGGATGGTTAACATAATAAGAAATACTCACTAACTAAAATACATTTTTGACACCAAGTAATAAACTAAGGTACTGTCAGCCTGAGATTTGATCGTAAATAAATCTCTTGAATGAATGTGAAAATGTTTGTGTGGAAACCAGCTCCACTCAGGCCACAGGAACCAACTATTTTTAATTCCAGATTTTCAGCAGCGCCGATCAAAGCTCCTAAAGCCTGTCACAAGCAGAGCATTTGTTGTACCATCAAAGGACTCTTCTGTCTTTGCTCCTGTGTTGTACTCAGTGCTGTATTATTAGCATCAGGGTGAGAGGTGCAGCTTTGACGAGAGCTTATTTTTGGCTGGAAACCTGTGAAAGAAGCAAAATGTTTGTAGCTTCAGTCATAAAATGGGATCAGTTCTCACCTGGTCCTGTAGAGACATGACGGGGTTGTTTTTGGTCGTGTTGATGTGCAGGACGTGGAAGCGATTCTTCCCGCAGAGGTCGTAGGCGATGTTAGTGAAGGATGTGCTGGCTGTCTTGGGCACTCTGTTGTAGATGATGACCATGTCGTCTTTCTCAGCCAGTGGCGACGATTCCCGCCCGCCGCCCTCTTCGCTGTGGCGCTGCTCTACTTCGGCCACCTCGTGTCTGGCGATGGTACGTTCTGCACGGAACAGAAGACACAATATGTGACGTCACTGAGCAAAGACTGTTATGATATTTCTGTGTTGAACCAATTTTTAGACACTTAAACCCCCAAAAACGACTGCTGGTTTGAAAGGCATGTTGTCTTTACAAGAACTGACAAAATTACACCATTTATCAGCAGGAACTTTGGATTTTCATCTTACTGACATGGTTTGAACTCATCATCTGTGACCTACTGTTATGTTTGCTGGTAAACTAAACCAAACTAAAGCTTATATTTTTTTTCTTTAAAACCACTCTTAACTTTATACATAGTCCTGACAGTGAAGCACAGCGGTGGGAGTGTGTTGATAAAAGGTGACATATATAGAAGCACCATGCATGTCTATGGATATACCAAAATACTGGCCGACAACATGATTCCCAGTCTGCAGAAGTTTGGCAGAAGACGAGGATTCCAACATGGTAACGATCCAAAGCACACAAGAGTTTCTAAAAAACAACAAAGTGAAAACTGTAACTTGGCCAAGTATGACTCCTGAGTGGAATCCAGTGGAACACCTTTAGGGTGTGTTGAAGAGAAAGGCAAAGCAACACAACACCTCCAGCAAACAGCAGCTCAAAACACAGTCTGCAGAGGACTGATTCTGCCATCGAAAATAACGGTGGACATACAGAAAAAATAGGACTGCAAGGTGGTTCGGTGGTTAGCACCGTTGCCTCGCAACAAGAAGGTCGCTGGTTCGCGTCCTGGTGAGGACACCCAGGATCTTTCTGTGTGGAGTTTGCAGGTTCTCCCTGTGCAGCGTGGGTTCTCTCCGGCTTCCTCCCACAGTCCAAAAACATGCTGAGGTTAATTGATGATTCTAAATTGTCCGTAGGTTGTGTGCTTGGCTGTCTGTCTCTAAGAGGATTAAGCAGTGTATAGATGATGGATGGATGGATGGATGCAGAAAAAATAAGATCTGAATCTCAGTGGTAAAAGGACTGAGTCTCTACTGTGGAGCCTGTATTTTTAATACAGGAAATCTAAACAGCTCACTGTTAAATTTCACATCAGAGCAAATACCTGCTGTACAACTGAGAAACCATGAAATCACTGTAAGGCGACAGAATGTGGAATCATTTGACAAACGATGTGATGTTGCACACTGTACTCACTTGTGTTGTTACTGTACAATATGAAGTGAACACTGGCAGGTTGCAGACATGAGACTCCACACGAACGTGGCATAAGGCCAGCGAGGCTCGTTAGAAGGCTTAATTAATGAAAACAACACAGTCCTTCAAAACACAATAACATCGAAACAAGTCATCAGGCTTTGATGATAATATTGACAGGAGGCATAATTAAAAGTGTTTTCTCCCTCTTCTTTTCTCCACTGCAGTATTAATTAAAGCCAATTACAGGACGGCCTTGTGAGCGTCTCAGACCGGCTGCATGCTGCTCGGTGCAGCATCCTGCTGTCCGGCCACCACCTCAGCGGCTGACGCCATGAGGACGGACAAAGCTCAGGGGGGAGGCGGCCACGTGTCTGCAGGAAGGCCGTGCTCCTCCGTCTGAAGGCAGATGGATGACTCCTACACTTTGCCTAATCTCACAGATAAAACACAAAACGCATGTCTGTGCCTTCCTCAGTATCAGTTATTCATCTCAAATCAACAGGGGTCTGCTGCTGGACCGTCTCTGATTTGCTTGAAACTTTATCATACACTATGGACTAATGGTATCTGTGGAAACTGAAATTTGATAAATTCAGTATTTTCACTTTGAGCTATTTTTTCACACATAGAAATGTGAGGCCATGTTTGAACAAGAATATCTCAGGAACTATTAAAGATAAAAGCCTGAAATCTTCACAGATATTTGTCATCGTGTCACTGATTTGGAATCATTAATATTGGTAGATCAAACAATCTCTGATCGCGGGTGAGTTTAAACATGAAAACAAGTGAAAGTTTTTGATATATCAATAAATGAAGCTAAAATTCCTCAAACATCTTTATAAATATCCATATTTTTAAGGAAAAACTGGTGTGAGAAAAAAACACCAGTTGTGCTGCCAACATCAGACACTCATGTAAAGTTCATGCAACCTTAAATTTAATTGGGGCTGGATTTGGTTCAAACCTCCACGACGGCGTGTTGAGACACAGAAAGAGATTCAGTGAATCAGCTTCAGGCTGGAAACAATTAGGCAAATTACAGGAAGATGAACAGAAATTGTTCTAAATATGTGACAATGACCCGCACGCATTTCAACAGCTCATTAACATTAAGCTTTAATAAACTATGCAATGCAACAACATTTGCCTTTTTGTCTAGAAGGCGTCTGCTTAAAACTTCTTAACACAGAGGTTACTACGTCACCACAGTGCTGGTTCTGGCTGGTGGTCTCATGAGTGACATCTCAGTCAGCAGTCCACTCATGAGGTAGAAGAGAGGCTCAACATACAGCACAGTGCTAAATGTTCAGGTACTTTAAATGTGTAGATTCATGTCCATCACATAGTGCAATCAGGGAAGCGTCTGATCGCTCCCAGTTTTTTTCTGCAGCAGGACAACGAGCCCAAACATGCAGTCAGAGTGGTGAAGAACCGTCCTGAGTCCTGCAGCAGATGGTCTGGCCTCCACAGAGCGCTGATCTCAACAGAACTATTCAAAGCATCGTTTTTCTTCCTCACACTAATTTTAGTGGCCAAAACTTTTCCACAGGACTGCACATTGGTCTGAAAGTACATAAATTAGAAATAATTACTTTCTTCCTCGTCCTTTTTAACCTATTTGTGAGAATATTTGCTAAATGCAACAGAGATGAAAGTCCACAAAGAGAAATGAAGGAGAAAGGCGACAGAATAAGGCCTCCATTTACAGGTGCAAAGGATTTTCTCAAACTGCAATTCAGTGGACTTGATGCACCAATACACTGGACTTACTGCATATTAATGTGAAACCTCTGCAAGCCTGAACAGACATGTTGAGTGCTCTCATTTCTCACTTTTGAATGACATGTGTGGAATAAGGCACTGTGCAGCAAAGAATGATTCATTGTGGCCAAACCAAAGTATATTATTCATGTGCAGAATTCTGACCTGCAGGCACTCCAGCTCTCTGAAACGCTGCAACATGTGCCGTGAACGGCCTGCTCAATATGTACCGTGGTGACAATCAGACCTTTATCTGCCTGCCAGGACATGCTGAGACAGTTACAACTAAACCGAGGCTCAAAATAAATGGCAAACTGCCATTTAGGACAGACTCATAGAGAAGTTTAACGTTACCATCGTTCATCACTGAGTCTCAGTGTTAACTAGGGCTGCACGACTCATCGTTTCAGCATCAGGATGAAAACAACAGTCACATCGTTTCTCTGTGCACAGAGTTGTAGCTCTAGCTTCTACTGCAGCCTGCATGTGAAGCGTTCAGGGAACATCGGTAAATTGTAGCATTCATTGACTAATAGATCTTCAGCTGGTGAGATGTTTTGTGTACATTAAAAAAAAAAAAAAAAGTTGCTTAGCCTCCAGGAGATGCTCTGAATTTTGACAACGATTATGTGAAGATTGTTTCAAGTCTTATTTTAACACAGACTTGAATTTTAGCATGACTGTAGCACAACATGGAAGTTAAAAAGCAGCAGAGTGAAACAGCAAAGAGGGGAGAGAAGAGGGGGGAGGACCTGCAGCAAACTGTCGTGTGCGGGAGTCGAACTGACAACCACTGCGTCAGGGAACAGCACCCCCTGCTCATAGGTCACTCACTCAACCAGGTGAGCTTTAGGGGCGCTACAAAAGATATATTTCAAACCCAAACTACCAGTTTTCCCCTTCAGATGATCAACCAGCACGTCTACAAAGAGATCCTGCAGTGTTTGCTTCATTCAGAAGAGGTGAGAGTTGTGGCAGGACAAGTGGTGGCTGCTTCACCATGACAACACGCCTGCTCACAATGCCCTGAGAAGAACATCTCCGTGCTGTAGCAACCTCCCTACTTACCCCACCTGGCTCCGTGGGATTTGTTCCTCTTCCCCAAGCTCAAGGGGGTCATCAAGGGGACCTGTTTCGAAGACGTGGACGACATCAAGATGGCTGTGACGACGGAGCTGCAGAGGATCCTGGAAGAATCCTTCCAGGAGTGCATGGCGGCGTGAAGAGAAGGCTGGGGAAGTGTGTTAGACTCCAGGGGGATAATTTGGAAGGGCAAAACTGGTAGTTTGGATTTGAAATCTATCTTTTGTGACACCAGTCCTGGAAGCTTTCTGATACACTTCGTATATGACATGAAAACCAAATACCTTAATGTCAGTTTTTTCCAGCATCATGCAGCCCTGACAACGAACCAACATTTTCAGCTTGTTGATGTTGAACATCTTGTGACAAGATGAGATTTGATGCTCTGAAGACTTTTCCAGAATTTGAAAATTGCGGCCCAACCTACACCAACATCCTGTTCTTATAGCAAATTGTAGTATTGGAGCATAAAATCATAATATCAATATAAACACCAGCATTGTTCATTTATGCTAGAGTCATACTGAAAAGGGAAAATGATGGGGTCACTGTTTATTACCTTTACAGAACTTTACAGATTTCACAAACTAGTTAGTAACTTAGCACGAGGTCAAAGGTTGACTCTGCACCACGGTCTGCTCAGCTGTTACATGTACTCTGCTACATGTACTGCAGACTGCTGAGTGGATTGCAAATAACAGGAGCTGCTCAGCTGGTAAAACTATGAGAGGACACCATTTATGAACTACCCCAAGCATTTTGCCTTATGTTCTGTAAAAGCATATTCTCATATCCACTGATACACTGATCTGACTTCCAGCCAAAACTTAAACCATCATCGTTTTCACTTCCTGTTGCCCAACATTCTGCTCAGATGTCACCACAGTGATCAAGTCAAGCTGAGGTCTTACCGAGTTTGTCTCTGGCCTCGTCCAGTTTCTGGATCTGGTTCTCTATCAGCAGCATGGCCACTCCAAACGCCAGGACAGCCAGGAGCTGGATCTTCTGCGGCATCATGGTCCGTAAAAGCCCCATCAAACAACCAGATGGACCATACCGCGGCGACAGTCAGCTGAAGACTCTCAGATCCACCGCTGGTGTCTGATCCGGCTCAGGAATGTTCTCCGCTTATTCAAATTTGGACTAACTTGAAAGCAAATCAAAGTAAACGTGGTCAGCGTTAGCATTAGTAGAAGCAGAGCTCCTGCACGTTAACTTGTCGTTAGCAAAACAAACTAGCTGCCGTGCTAACAACATTAGAGACACGTAAAGCTCATGTCATTTTAATTCGGGCTGGAATTGGCTTAAACCTCCACGACGGTGTGTTGAGACATAGACAGAGGTTCAGAGAAACAGCTTCAGGCCGGAAACAAACGGAGTTCAACCTGCCGAGTTATGAGCTGAAGCTTGTTGCAGCAGGTACCATCACTGGAGGATTCTTCTTTTTCTTCTTCGTCTTCTTCTGCTGCTGCTGCTTCTGTTTCTTCTTCTGCTACTGCTTCTTCTTCGCTGATCACTGCAGTGTTAAAGCTGCATGTCGCCCCCTGCTGGACACAGCGGCGAAGCGCAGTAAACCGGAGAAAAAAGGTTTTAAGTTTTAAGACCAAGACTGTGTAGCAGATATTTAAACAGAGCCAGAGTTGCACATATTTTTTGATCAACGAATCCTTAATTAAAACAAACAAAAACAAACAAAAAAAGCCAACACACAATGTGTGTGTTCTTTGTGCCAGGCTAAATGTATTTAATATGTGTATTTTTATAATGCACATGAATAAATCATATGAACGATGTGTTTTGCTCCAATTTACTTCACAGTCATACACCAATATTAACTTGTCACTGGATCTGTGCTGCTCTCGCCTCCATTCTTTCCCTTTCAGAGCCATGTTTGTTAAGACTGTCGAATATTTAACTAATTATTTTAATTTCTGGGCTGGTTAGAAAATATTGTATTTATTATAGGCTATAATAGAATGATGAGAAATCTAAAAGAAAATAATCAAATGTACATGTTCATTTTACCCACTGACAATCGAAGCTGACGAGCATTTCTTTGGAGGCTGCACACAGACACACGTTTTATTTTTCTGTCCCATGTTTCAGCAACAGATGCTGATAAATTCAGGAGCTACCTGCTGTTTCACATTTCACCAGACAGTCAGTGCAGCTGAGGTGACTTACTGAATATACAGATTATTAACTATGGAGTTAAAAAAAACAACATCAATCTACCAGGAAAGTTCACTTAGTGCCAACTTATAAGTAATAAAAACATAATTTTATGCTCTTTAGAGATAGTTAGTAGTCACTAAATTGATTCACTGGCTGCACAAAAAGCTTAAACATTAATTTAATGCTGCTTTCTGTCTTTCATATCAAAGAGTTCAGAAAAAAACAGTATCTACTCACAAAATATACTTCAGACTAGTTGCAACTTTTCTGCTAATTTCAACTAATTAGCTTTAATAAATCAGTCTTTACTTAAATAACTGCTACAATGCTAAGCTAACCTAGTTCACTTATGACGGCTCTAGCACTTTATTTTTCTCCATTATGATGAGATTCACTGCTGCATTATTTTGCAATATAACAAACTCTCTTACTAAGAAGTAGGAGCATCAATAAATGTTTATATTTTAATTGATATAAAACTGTAAAAGTGGGTGAATTAGCTTTGGCCCTGATTATCTCACCAGCTAGATGCATAGCTGTTTGAGTTTTACTTTGTTTTGTAACAGAAAGTTTGCATTTCTGTGGTAACATTATGTTAATGTTATTTGTAAAATGACAAAAAAGTTATAGATTTTACAAGTTAGAAATCTAAAACAAAAAATCAACAAAGGAAAATGGGAGAAATACAAAAGTGTCATAACACAGTATTTAGAGCTAATAACTGAATTTATTCTTGAATCATCAGCATCTACTTAATTTGCACATTTAGTTGACCTTAAACATGCTCTTTTACACATTTCTACAGCTGTACAAAGCAGTTAAACACTCATTTATCTTCTTTTACCTGCTGCCCTTGAATAAATCTGTTTTTATGTGAGACACAGAGTAAAAGAGTCAGATTTCTTGTATGTATTCCCATATTTCGTCAATAAAGCTGATTCTGTTTTAATCTTTTAATTTCTTTTCATCTATCACCTGCTCTCAGGAATCTCATATCTTTATCTCTAATATCAGTAAAATGTCTTCTTAGTTTTACAGCAAACCACTGACACATACAGAGTCTAAGGCCTCTTTCTAAATAAAGACCAAATGACTGAAATGTTGTGAGAGGATTTCAGAGGACTTGTACAGCTGTTGTAACTTCACATTTAGAGCCGTTTAAAGTGTCACAGTTACAGAAGTTCATGAAGCTCATGTGAATATAGTTTCGGCTCATTGTACAGAAATTGTACTGATAATAATGTGAGCGGAAGTTTGAGTCTGTTGATTTACCTGACCGCGGTGACGTTTTCCATCTCGTGACAGAGCCGATCCGAAGGTCAAACAGAAGTCTGTAATCTGCTGCGAGCTCCGCTGAATGCAGGTGTGCTGCTCTCAGATAAGTCTGCTTCCTCGTCCACTGTGAGGAGGGAAGTGTGTGCAGATACCAAACTGTGTTATCGGAGAGCTGAGGATGTGTCGGGGAACCAGGAGTTCTCTTCTTCAGTTTGTTCTGTGTACCAGATCCTGATAGATTCTGCTTTCATGAACACAGCGAGGTCAAACAGTGCAGGAGGTCATTTGATGCAAACCTGAAGTCTGCAGCACATTAATGGAAGAAGAAGGCAAAAGAAACTAAGTACATTTACTCCAGTACTGGACTCACAGTGAGTACAGAAGCAAATACTGTCAGTTTTACTTTTAAGGAGTGATTATGGTGCACAGTCATCATGGTCATGTGCACACAACATGAGAGCAGCAACTGTCATGAGTCAGTGAGTTGTGTGAAGCTCACCATCAACATCAGGATGTGTGTTAAATACAGTTTTGTAACCACTTGTAGGTGCATGTTTAGA